CCCAAGAACATGGGTATGCGGCGCAAATGCTCGACGCATACCTGCAAATAGCTCCTCTACTTCCATCGTCTCTTCTGTGTCAACGCCAGCTAGCTTGAGGCGTTTCAACGCAGGTATTGACAGTAAACAGATTACAGCACTAGCTCTTTGTTCCTCATCAAATTGTTGTATATAGCGACGGCACTGCTCCTCCCACAATGTGAATGATTCCCCTGGGACGAACTTTTCTGGTGCTGGGAATTTAACTTGAGGTTTATTGTTGGAGGATGATGAAAGTGTATCCGACGTCATCAATGCTATTCTGAACGCCGCGACCATTGCTTGAATCATATCTGGGGCAGGCGTGGACGTCGACGTTGTCGGTGAGGTTGATGACATTACTGGTGGCACTCTGTTACCATTTTCCGAGTCGCAAGCGTTGGCATTAGCAGGAGATTCAGAGTCCTTCACTTCGCGCTTTAGTTTACCCGATAACCATAATAACCATGTGTCTCTTTCTCTTGTAGGGACGATTTCGAGGCGTGGAGACCGAACCACTGAAGTCGCTGGGGACAGCTTTTAGGAACCGAGGGGGTCGTGTAGTAATTCGAACTCAAGAGCTGGCGCAAATTCAAAAACTGGTGGCTGCTGAATACTGAAGGCCTAGCTCTTTGTTGTAAATATATACATCTTTTGAACTTTCCTGTCGCGTTCTGCTTCTCACCTCACCCCGTGTGCTTGATATCTGATACTGTCTGTGTTGTTCTATTATAGAACATGGCGAGCCGGCCCAACTCGCGTAAACTAAAGCGCGAAGTGAAGGACTCTGAATCTCCTGCTAATGCCAACGCTTGCGACTCGGAAAATGGTAACAGAGCGCCACCAGTAATGTCATCAACCTCACCGACAACGTCGACGTCCACGCCTGCCCAGATATGATTCAAGCAATGGTCGCAGCGTTCAGAATAGCATTGATGACGTCGGATACACTTTCATCATCCTCCAACAATAAACCTCAAGTTAAATTCCCAGCACCAGAAAAGTTCGTCCCAGGGGAATCATTCACATTGTGGGAGGAGCAGTGCCGTCGCTATATACAACAATTTGATGAGGAACAAAGAGCTAGTGCTGTAATCTGTTTACTGTCAATACCTGCGTTGAAACGCCTCAAGCTAGCTGGCGTTGACACAGAAGAGACGATGGAAGTAGAGGAGCTATTTGCAGGTATGCGTCGAGCATTTGCGCCGCATACCCATGTTCTTGGGCAGCGGGCTGCTTTTCACGCATGTGTCCAGCAGAGCGGCGAAAGTACAGAGGAATTCCTCTGGCGACTTCAAGAGTTAGCTCCAGTGGCTTTTGAAGGAGACTCCGCAACCGAAATCAGCTCCCGCATTCTCCACCAATTCGAAGAAGGGTTGTTGCACGACGAAGTACGAGAAAGGGTTATCGAAAGCAACCCTACATCGCCCGTGGAGGCTCTACAGGTTGCCAAACAGAAGGAAGCTCTAATTAAGCTTCGTAAGAATCGGCGACCAACAGACGGACCCTATACTCAATCACAATATCAAGAATCGAGGACGCCTCGTGAGCATCGTACGAAACCACATCTTGAGTGGAGGTCCCGATCTTCCCCGAAAGCAAGACAAATTCCACACCAACCACGTCCAAGGGCGGGCTGGATAAACTCTCGCCTCCCAGAAGAGATTGGTGAGTCTCCCTCTTTTTTATCTAATGTCATGCCATTATCAGACGAGCCATATGTAGCTAAGCAACTGCCCACTGTTCTAGTTAAGTTTTATGACAGAACTCTCGTTGGGTTGGTAGACACAGGTGCAGCTCGCACATTGTTGTCCAGCAAATATTGTAATGCTATGGCCAAAACTGCCACACCCCACCTTAACATCCAAACGGCAAATGGGTCTCGCATGAAAGTGGCGGGCGAGCTGTTAGTCTTATGGGAAGGTAAACATGGTCGTATGTGGCATCCGTGTTTGGTAGTTAACGGATTGTCGTGGGATTTAATAATAGGTTATGACCTTCTACGCGGTTGCAACGCGTCAATTGATATTGAATCCCAAAAGCTCACCCTTCTAGGTTCTACATTACTATTTGGAGCAGATATTAATAATACCTGTTTACAGCTGAGTGTGAATGCAATTGATACCGCCCTGATGGAAAGTATGCTAACACAGGTCCCGCGAGAGCACAAAGAGGCGGTACATCGGTTAATGTCCGAGTTTTCGGAGGTCGTATCTTGGTCCTCGACTGACCTGGGAAGAACCACAGCTATCCAACATACTATTGAGACCGGTAGTTGTGCTCCAATACGGCAAACACCTCGCCGAGTCCCAGCTAAGTTTCGTCCGCAACTGGAAAGCATGATTGATGAAATGCTACAGAAAAAAATAATTGCGCCGTCGAACTCACCGTGGGCTTCGCCTATAGTGTTAGTTAAGAAGAAAAACGGCACCCTGCGCTTGTGTGTTGATTACAGAAAATTAAACGCAGTGACCCGGAGAGATGCTTACCCATTGCCTAGAATAGATGAGACGTTAGAAGCATTATCAGGTGCCGTCTGGTTTTCCACCCTTGATTTAGCTTCTGGATATTGGCAGGTGGAAGTCCACCCTCGTGATCGGCACAAAACTGCTTTTACTATACCCACCGGTTTATATGAATTCCAGACCATGCCGTTCGGGTTAAGTAATGCACCAGCCACGTTTCAACGACTGATGCACACAGTACTTAAAGGATTAGTTCCACAGGTGTGCCTCGTATATTTAGATGATATTATCGTTTTCAGTCACACCATCGAAGAACACCTTGAGCGACTGCGGATTGTCTTGGAACGTTTGAAGGAGGTGGGACTCAAAGTTCAACCCACTAAATGCCGTTTATTCCGAACCGAAATCACTTTCTTGGGGCATGTTGTTAGTGCACAGGGCGTTCATAGCGATCCTGAAAAAGTTGCAGCAGTCAAAGAGTGGCACACCTGTGGAACTAATCCTTTAAGTACTGTGTGCATCAGTCGTTGAAACGTGGCTGGTGCATTACTTAACCCGAACGGCATGGTCTGGAATTCATATAAACCGGTGGGTATAGTAAAGGCAGTTTTGTGCCGATCACGAGGGTGGACTTCCACCTGCCAATATCCAGAAGCTAAATCAAGGGTGGAAAACCAGACGGCACCTGATAATGCTTCTAACGTCTCATCTATTCTAGGCAATGGGTAAGCATCTCTCCGGGTCACTGCGTTTAATTTTCCGTAATCAACACACAAGCGCAGGGTGCCGTTTTTCTTCTTAACTAACACTATAGGCGAAGTCCACGGTGAGTTCGACGGCGCAATTATTTTTTTCTGTAGCATTTCATCAATCATGCTTTCCAGTTGTGGACGAAACTTAGCTGGGACTCGGCGAGGTGTTTGCCGTATTGGAGCACAACTACCGGTCTCAATAGTATGTTGGATAGCTGTGGTTCTTCCCAGGTCAGTCGAGGACGAAGATACGACCTCCGAAAACTCGGACATTAACCGATGTACCGCCTCTTTGTGCTCTCGCGGGACCTGTGTTAGCATCCTTTGCATCAGGGCGGTATCAATTGCATTAACACTCAGCTGTAAACAGGTATTATTAATATATGCTCCAAATAGTAATGTAGAACCTAGAAGGGTGAGCTTTTGGGATTCAATATCAATTGACGCGTTGCAACCGCGTAGAAGGTCATAACCTATTATTAAATCCCACGACAATCCGTTAACTACCAAACACGGATGCCACATACGACCATGTTCACCTTCCCATAAGACTAACAGCTCGCCCGCCACTTTCATGCGAGACCCATTTGCCGTTTGGATGTTAAGGTAGGGTGTGGCAGTTTTGGCCATAGCATTACAATATTGGCTGGACAACAATGTGCGAGCTGCACCTGTGTCTACCAACCCAACGAGAGTTTTGTCATAAAACTTAACGAGAACAGTGGGCAGTTGCTTAGCTACATATGGCTCGTCTGATAATGACATGACATTAGATAAAAAAGAGGGAGACTCACCAATCTCTTCTGGGAGGCGAGAGTTTATCCAGCCCGCCCTTGGACGTGGTTGGTGTGGAATTTGTCTTGCTTTCGGGGAAGATTGGGACCTCCACTCAAGATGTGGTTTCGTACGATGCTCACGAGGCGTCCTCGATTCTTGATATTGTGATTGAGTATAGGGTCCGTCTGTTGGTCGCCGATTCTTACGAAGCTTAATTAGAGCTTCCTTCTGTTTGGCAACCTGTAGAGCCTCCACGGGCGATGTAGGGTTGCTTTCGATAACCCTTTCTCGTACTTCGTCGTGCAACAACCCTTCTTCGAATTGGTGGAGAATGCGGGAGCTGATTTCGGTTGCGGCGTCTCCTTCAAAAGCCACTGGAGCTAACTCTTGAAGTCGCCAGAGGAATTCCTCTGTACTTTCGCCGCTCTGCTGGACAAATGCGTGAAAAGCAGCCCGCTGCCCAAGAACATGGGTATGCGGCGCAAATGCTCGACGCATACCTGCAAATAGCTCCTCTACTTCCATCGTCTCTTCTGTGTCAACGCCAGCTAGCTTGAGGCGTTTCAACGCAGGTATTGACAGTAAACAGATTACAGCACTAGCTCTTTGTTCCTCATCAAATTGTTGTATATAGCGACGGCACTGCTCCTCCCACAATGTGAATGATTCCCCTGGGACGAACTTTTCTGGTGCTGGGAATTTAACTTGAGGTTTATTGTTGGAGGATGATGAAAGTGTATCCGACGTCATCAATGCTATTCTGAACGCCGCGACCATTGCTTGAATCATATCTGGGGCAGGCGTGGACGTCGACGTTGTCGGTGAGGTTGATGACATTACTGGTGGCACTCTGTTACCATTTTCCGAGTCGCAAGCGTTGGCATTAGCAGGAGATTCAGAGTCCTTCACTTCGCGCTTTAGTTTACCCGATAACCATAATAACCATGTGTCTCTTTCTCTTGTAGGGACGATTTCGAGGCGTGGAGACCGAACCACTGAAGTCGCTGGGGACAGCTTTTAGGAACCGAGGGGGTCGTGTAGTAATTCGAACTCAAGAGCTGGCGCAAATTCAAAAACTGGTGGCTGCTGAATACTGAAGGCCTAGCTCTTTGTTGTAAATATATACATCTTTTGAACTTTCCTGTCGCGTTCTGCTTCTCACCTCACCCCGTGTGCTTGATATCTGATACTGTCTGTGTTATTCTATTATACCAGTTTGGCCTTGTGGAAGTGACCACTTAGTATTATAAAATAGTTGTTTTGTAGTTTTGTTTAAAAGCGCAAATAGTGCTCCGATGATCGAATAGAATTAGGTGGTTGTTTCACGTTATCAGTTCCTAACCCACAAGGCAGCAGATAGATGTTAGAGGGGTGCATTTCTGTGGCGCTTTGCGATCAGAATAGGTTCATGTGCGTTGTATTCTTTCACTTCTTCGTGGCTATAGATACTCTTGGCTTGGGTATCAACATTCCAGGCTTTTGCCAGATAGTAAAAGTTGCACATTTGCAATCAGTCATATGCTCGTAACTCTGCGTTAGGGCAATTCTTGGGACAAACCAGGGTCTGTCCACACTAGGTCCAGGAGGGGGTAGTTTCACTATGACTGTCGTATTCATTGTGGAGGTAGCTAATGTGATATGCAGTCTGGATTGTAGTGATATCCGAAAACTCTATTAAAAACTATGCAATGGTGAGATTAATGGAATAATTTTTTTGTATTTCATTTAGAACTTGGTGGTAATGGCACTTATGACTATGAATAAGGAAAAACTCACATACACTTCCAACTACTGGTGTGTGTCCAAATATACAATATATCTGTTTATTAAGTGAGGAGAATGCATATAAACTCTTGGAATACTTGAGCGAATCTGGTACCTTGAACAACGCATATGTAGTTTTTGTGTCCAATATGAATAAATCTGTAAGTTTTGTAATAATTTTTGCCTAGAATCAGGTTGGTTTGTTTGCACAAGTTAAAGGGGATCCCCAGGTGGACCGTTTAATTGTTTGGGTACGCACCATTTCCAGTTTCTAACCGTTCAAGGATTATCATGTATTTCTTATTCACGAACTTTCGTCTAAATATATGGTGTACGATTTCGACTCAGTCTTGCCCTTCCCTTGTTCATTTACTCATTATTTCACTCATGGATTGAGATGGAATAGCTGCCTTCCTGAAAAACTACACAGGTGAGATGTTTTCACTATGTAGCAGATTTTCAGTAGTTTTCAAAGTTGTTAATTTCAGGATGCCTATAAACTTAACATTTTTGCAAGAGTTTTGCTTTCCTGACTCCTAAAATATGTAGGAACTGTATTTATGTGTTCTTCATTAGGCTTATTGGCGTGTAATTTACAAATGTAGTAATTTTCAGGGAGCAATAATTTGCAAAAGCCTCCTTCAATTTATGGTTTATGACTATTTTAGCGTAAAATGTGAATTCTAGTTGCATTAGACACTTCAGCTTGTTATTGTTTTATGGAATCTCTGTTTGTCCAGTGACTGTGGGTTTCACACATAATTAATTGTTTACTAGTAAGATTTTATAACATTTTTAATTTCATTCCTAGTGTATATATAACGGTATCCGAACACAGCAAGAATTCTAGGATATTTGGCATGCGTTATGCTCATGTCCAACTTAAAATGATACTGTTGGTTTGGTCTGCACTGACTCATGATCTAAAGGTAGGTTGGGCGTATTAAACATTTCAGCTATTTGGGAAGTTGCATTACCCTTAATGGACTGATTAGCGACGAAGTCAGCACAGATTCAAAGGGCTCTTAGGACATTTTCCGAATTACTTCATCTGATATAGATATGATATTTGGCCATAGATGGATGGACGTGTATACTGCTCATCAGTTCGATACGTCCTCTATGAGACTCAGCATTTGGGAGTGGAAGTCTTGACGATGTTAGCTGTCTCTGTTCGTAGGTGTTTTCGTTCTATTTCCCCTGTTAAACGGTACAAAGTAGTGGATAATTTTGGGGTTAGGCTTAGCATTATGTAAGAATAGCAAGTCAGTCTATCAGCTTGTGAAGCTACATTGATTGAAATGGCTACAACATGTGCGGAGCCAACGTCTTTCTCGTCGGGCAGTGTTAGGTGATAGGAAATTGAGTTGGGAAAGAGTTAGAGGTGGTTAAAAGGGAACTTGGCATCAATCCATGAAGTCTTTAACTTTTGTTTTGGGTCAAGTAGGAAGGTGCAGACTGGGACTGGCTTCGGTCCACGAGACTATAAGATCCAGTGGCTGGTGACTGTTGGTGACATGGTTCACAGTTGTTCTCCATGGCCCTGATATATTCACATTCCATGAAGTAGATTTATCAAATTATCATTATTTCTCGTATTATTGTTCTATATCCCGTTCATTATAGTTCTGACTTTTTCGCTACCTTTGGGTGTGGAAACTTAAAATGCTGCACTTTGTGCAGTTTCATGTCGAAGGCTCAGTCATAATAGCAAGCATTTTTGTAACTGACTAGATAATATATGCAATTGGCCAGCTACCAGTTTTCAGTCTTCTTCATCACTCATTTTGAGTTTTTGGGCTACTCACTGCTTGCATGAAACAAATTAACATCTCATGTTATGAAGATAAACAGGTTGAATTGCATGTGAAATGGTTCACTTTATGATTCTGACTAGATAGTACAACAGCCAGAATGGGTGAAGCTTCTTAGGTAGAGATATTCACAGTGAAGCGGACAAAATGTATGTTTGTCCAAATGCAGAGCAGACTTTGAATATACTTGATGTGTGTTTTTCAGCTATCAAATACGAAATGATGTTCTATGACTGGTCTTATTTTAAAAAAACAGTTGAAGTGGTTGGATACACTGGCAGTATTTTAGCACAGATTCGAAATGCCTATTCGGGCCTCGTGGTGTAGCAGTTAACACTTTGGACTCTGAATCTAACCACCCGAGTTGGAGTTTCGGGTAGGCCCGAGAGTGTTCGGATTTCGCCAGTTGACTCCATTTGGGCCATTGAATAATACCTGACTTCCAATAGAAATGTGTCTATGACTCAACAGTCCATCTTATTACACTTAACTACTGTGAGACAAACACTAAAAGCTGGAGATCTTAAAATGTAGGTCTTTAATTATATTCATTCCCATTTTATTGTATACATGAGGTGAAAATGTGTGGGATGTAATACTGGAGTTATAGACAGTGTTATGTGGGCAAGACGAACCAAACTACTCAGTATTGAGTCTTACCTAAGTAGGTAAGAAATCTGCTGAACTAACACCTTCGATAAGTAACAGTGGATGAAGTAAACTTATATTGCAAATAGGTAAGGATCAGTTAGATTAGCACGTATCACTAAACCGTGAATTCTGTTATCGTTGTTATGAACGATGCACACCATCGTGAGCTATGTGACTGGACTTACAGTATGCTAAGAATCGATAGTAACTTGGTAAAATTGTTCACAGTGACAGTGAGTCTTTTTCAGCGTGGCATTGCGCCAAGTTGTCAATCATCTTTGATTATTTGTTCGCTTTCTTCACATATATATGTTTCTGTCCATTGTGGTCTTTCTGTTTCTGTCCTCTTTCTAATGTACTTTTTCAAATTCTTTCAAAGTGAGCAGATGTACTATTGTACAGAGTTCTTTGCTGATTTACCAGTCAGTTACTGATCTGATTATATGAATCATAATTAATACTCTTAATCGCCCATGGTTTCTCATTTATCCTTCTGCGTCTGGTAAGACAATTAAGTAAAAATACTATATGTATGAAGATTAATAATCAAAGGCAATTTCCGTTTTCATATATATGAAAATAATGAACTTGTAAAAACTGCCAAGTATAGATTACAAGAGTATGAGCTGATCCTAGTTTCGTATTTGAATCTCTTACATACATGAACTGGCTATAAATTAATAGGGTCAATAGAATTCTCAATAAATGTTGTTTTCAGGGCATATTGTTAAGATTTTATCAGTTATATGTTTCTACTATTCTCAAAAGTACATTTTTGGCAACTTCCATAGATCATGACATTTCCATCTAGTTGCTACTATTTTTCTGTCGTCCTTATCTGATTCTGCCAAAAACACTGTCTGTCTATGTTTGTTTTCTACATAGAACTTTGCACCGATGTGAGGCAGTTCAAGTTGCCACACTCTATGTAGCAAGAGAAGAAGGGAGAAAAAATGCATAAAATAGACAGTAAACAGAGGTGTGAGATAATGAAATAGAAGTAACGAAGAACAATGTAGTTTCATTGGAAATCATAGGCCATAAGGAGTGGATGCATCTGCGCCATTGAGAACGATTTTGAGCCATATCACCAATTGTTTCCAACCATTGGTTTTTACCGTCCCGAGGACCCCAACCAGTCAGGAAGTCTACACCTTCCTACGTGACTTAAACTAACTGTTGTAGATTTCATTGACTGAGGAAGCCATGTTTTGGTTTGACCACCGCTAGCTCTTTTCCAGCCTAACCCTATGTTAGCTAACATTGCCTGTCGAGGAAGGCGATGACTAGGCATACGTAACACATGTCCTAACCATCTCAGTCGATGTAATTTCACAACCTCGTCGATTGATTTCCCTTCCTTACCTAGCACTCGACGCCTAACCTCGATATTGCTCACCTTACTATACCACTTCACACGGGAGATAGAGCGCAGGCACCTATGATCAAAAACAGCCAGCCTTTTCATGTCTTCCACTATCAATGGCCAGGTCTCACAGCCACAAAGGAGAACGGAGCGGACTGCTGAGCATTACACACGCCCTTTGGTCGGTAGTCGGATATCTCGTCTATGCTAGAGATGGCGTAAACTGGCATATGCGAAACTAGCCCTCTGTATCCGTACTGATATTTCGTCAGAGATCAAGCCGTTGGCACTGGCTGATGATACTTCCCAAATAAGTGAGGCAGTCAATGTGCTCTACCGCTTCACTCCTTTTTTCTAAACTAGGAGTCAGTGTAGTTCAGTCCTGTAACATCATCTTACATTTGGCGGGAGCTAATCGCATGCCAAACATTCGTAGATTGCAGCTCAAGGTGTTCAGAAGACTGCATTTTGTTAGCGTCCTCGCCTAGAAGGACTATATCATCTGCATATTCTAAGTCAACGAGATTATTCCGTAATAGCAAGTCAATCCCTGAGTCGATGAAGTGAGTTAGGGTTAAGTCCATTAGTACATCTATGATGAAATTGAATGGAAATGGGGATAATGGGCATCCCTGACGCACACCACTAGACGTGTGTTCTAGAATCTATCGAAGGGTGAAGATATGATCAATACACCCTCTTCCTAGTCTAAAGCCTGTCTGGTTCTCTCGTGTTTGTGCCTCCCGAGCACCACTTAGTCTACACAATCTTATTGAGCCAAAAACACTACTGATTGAAAGAGACGAGTCGAAAGCACTATGAAAAAAGTGAGTATCAGTTGTCATTCATTTCAGGCATTAGCTTTTGCTTCTGTTTTACTTTCATACAGTGTTTTTTTATACTTTATTCTTCCTGTTGCAGGTACTATCGTGTTATCCCACATGTTGATTATCTGAATTATTTTTCATCAGACCGTAGTCATATGCAACGTGAAGATGGCAGTTGGTTATCTCCACCACCACCTTATGATTGTATTTTCGGGAGAAATGCAGCTTCACCGAATACTTTACCCTTCTACTTGGATATGACGATAAACACAAATGCTGAGAATTCATTTTCTTCCTCAGGTGTTTATGGCTCCGTTCTAACTGAAAGTAGCTTTCTAAAGAAATTTTCGGGGGACTAGTGTACTTCTATTCTCGTATGTAAATAGATTCTTAATACTTGAATAAATATAGTTTTTTATTTGTTCTGAGAACAAAAACACCTGTTGATTGTAATAAACTGTGATTCGATCAAAAGTTTTAGTAGCAAATTCTTTTTATTCCTTTGGGTTCCTACTGGAACATGGGGCTGCAAGCTTCAGCTTTGAAGTTTCAGTAGCAGTGGTTTTTTACAGGGTGGGGTTGCTAGCCAGCCCCACGACCAACCTTCCCTCTTTGTGAGGGTTGTAACCGGCTAAGGGAGATAAAGGTGTGCGTCGACCGGGACTCTAGCCCCGAACCACGTTCATGGTTGGCGATTTACTGCTGAACCACTGACGCAAATAAAGATTTGAAAATTAACCATCGTCTGAAGTGCGTTACTTTTAAACAAAACAAGGAAAGAATCAACGGTAGTTAAGTATGGTGACGGATTAAAGAGATATATAGTGACAAAAAGTCGACACGTAGGCCGACCATAAAGTGGTTGGAAGAAGATTAAATGAAGGCTTTGTCTAACGTGCGCAGCTAAGGATTTTTATGAGCAACACCTCATACTCTTTTTGAATTCTCACTTAAGTTTGGATTTACAAATTGATATAAATTCTCCTTGACTACATGGTGAACATTTTCTATCGCAGAATGTTCCAACTGCGGATTACTAACGATATCGCACAACTGCATGCGTCCAGTTCTTAGTGTTGCTACAGTCTGAACTCCATCAGTCGAGTGTGCGTTGTGGTCTCCAAGCTAGGTGGCTCACCGTTGGGATATAATCCGAAATGATGTTAAATGGTTGGGGGCAGTCTACAGGAAGCCATGGAACCAGGTCTCGTATGTCAGTAAGGGACTCGTGTCCCCTCTGGGATCTGAACTCATGCCATTCAGTGGTGTAGTCGGAGTTTTTACTACTGAGTAATTCGGGCGGATCAACGTCTCAACAAGCGAACTTTTCGATAGGACAGAAATACGCTGGACGACAATAATGGGAAAAAAGACTTAATACCCAAAATCTGAAAACCTGTAATTATTATTGTTAACCACCATACAATAAGAATGAACAAAATCTATTTCAACAGCAGTTTTATATGGATACACAAAATAAGCGTAGAAATATTTGAATAAAATTAAAGCGGGATCATCCTTTCGTAGGTATGTAGACATGGGTAGTTGATTTAAACAGTTTAGTTTATACTAGTGCACTACAGGTTGAAACATCATACCGTATATCGGTGTTTGGTTGCTTATTATCATTTTTCCCTACACAGGATGCATATAGTTTATTTCCTGGCACACTAATTTGAACTTTATCTAGGTTCTCCTATTTCGGTCGTTAACCAACAAATCTTTATCCCCGCCATTTTTTTTGTCATTTCACTACAATGTATGCCATTTTAACACAAACTTGGAACTTTCTAAAGACAAAAATATCATAGTATATGATATAGGAACGATATGAATACATGATTGAAAAATATGATGCATAACAATAGATGCTACGATTAAGACTGACTACCTTTGTGTTTTCTGAATTTGTGAAGCAGTTTTTTTTCCTTCACGTTCCCAGTGGAACATAGGGCTTCAAGATAGTGGCTTGCAGTTTCTGTAGCAGTGTTTATTTTACAGGACGGGTTTGCTAGCCTCATACCCTACCTTTCCTCTTTACCAGCTTTATTTCTTTTTTTTTGGATTACAGCTTGATTCCACACTGTATTTTTGGTACAAGTATGAAATTTTCAGCATGGATATCGGTAGCCCAAATTTCGCAGGCCGACCATAGATATCAGGTGTGCGTCGGGAGAGGATCGAACTCCGGACCATGTGCATGGTCGGCGAGCGTCCTAACCGCTGTGCCACCGACGCCAGTTATACAGTTAACAGCATAGAATTCCCTATAACGACATACTTAAGACAGACAGACAGACTTAAGGTACATCCAGTTTATAGGAGCTATTGCTCCCTAAGATATTATCATTTATCAAATAGTGGCAACAATACAAAACTGGTAATTGGGTAATTCCTAGATCTCTGTCCTTTTTCAAGGAACTACTCCGGTGTACTTGACGTATTATTCTTTAACTAAGTGAAATATTTGGGCAATGATAATGTTACTCAACAACTAATTACTTACGTATTTCCTTATTGTGCATCAGCTGATGATACTCTGTAACTGCCTAAGTTTTGATAGCTTGAGAACAACTCCAACTTATGACCTACTTCGAAATCAAGCGCCTGAGCTAATTAGCCATAATTTCATAGTATCTAGGTAAGTTAACTTGCGTCCTACCTATTCTTCTTTATTGTTCACCCTTATTCTTTCCTGGTTTGCTTAAAAAGGACTATGTCACAATTCGTAGAATGCTGAAGACTATCAGTAGGGTGAGTGGTGTCCCAGTGGACCACATAGTTAACGTCGTTGTCGATAGGCACTTGACTTCGTGCAATAAATTTGCTAAAGGGATTTGTCTGACTTGGAGCAGCCGCTTTACCCTCAGCTTTCACCTTGCATCTCCTTAGGTAGAAGAAGTAACTTCAGAAAACTGTATGCTCGCACATCTAAGTATAAAAATTCTATGATACCATACTTGACACGTATTTTATGTGATGAAAATAGTGTCAGGCAAGAATTAACTAACCTTTTTTCATCTAGTAAATAAGTAATTTCCTCCATCCATCCTTATATACCTTCAAGTTTTACTTTTATCATTTCTATTATATTTATGGTCCTGTTGCTTCTTCGTTTGTTTTACTTTCATAATTGCAAACACCAACTTATCTCTATGACTGCTGTAATCTTTGTTTTTCCACTCACCATATCATGTAAAGAGAACCTCATATTCAATAATTTTTAAACAAGCTAAGATTTCTATACCGCATTGACAATATTGTGTGAAACAAGCCCACGGTAATTTTGACTTGTATTATTATTATTATTACCCTAGCTGTTATCATTATTATTGCTATTTCCATTATATATGCTGCATGTTTTTGACACTACCTGTATTGTAAATGTGGAAAATTTTTTGTGTGATTAGTTTTTATTTATAATTTGAGGAAATTAAATGCAATAATATTGTGATTAATGCTGAAAATTCCATTCTGTATCACAAGTACTGTTTTTGGAATAAAGTAAATCATTATTATTGAAACTCTAAGCAGTGAGATAAGCAAGTAGCATTCTTCTTTAGAGTGGTTTGCTTTTAGTGCGAATGGCATTGATACGTGTCATTTCAAATGAGAAAAGTAAGAACGACAAGTGTGGCTGGATAATATGAGCTGATTGTTTTTATTATTTAGCGGAATGTTTCCAACCACTTAAAACCTGAACAATACAAAAATGCAAATTATAGAAAAGGGTTCAACATACTTTTTCCTCATTGACAAGGAGTAATTCATAGGGACTATAAGTAACAGAATGCAAAGATGGTGTTGTTAGTAGTTACACTATAAGGATTGACTATTTCTAGAATCTTGAGAAACGACAGAGTTCAGAATTTCGGATAGAAACAAAGTTTGACTAGAAAGAGCATGTTAGTAAAATAGGTTACATAATCACAAGAAAACTTTTTTTATAAAATAGCAGAAAACAGTAATGACAGGGATGTTCAGATGAAAAAAATTGCATAACTTTGTTTCGTAGGTGTAATCATTGTCTCTTTCTACGCATATAGATTTGGTTTTAATTTGATGGTGATTGCCTCCGCAAAATGTAACAAGCTGGGGTTTGTTCTACATACATGTGGATTATTTTAAACACCCTCAGAGTCCCCACAATTTAAATAATAATAATAATGTCTGATAGATGGCGCGAAATCCTGTAATTCAATGCCTGTGGGCCTTTTATTTATGGATTCTTTAGTATGTATCCATCGTAAGCTGATTGCGGACTTTAATCTTGTTTGCTGCATGGTTTCCCATAAACATTTCGGACCCATAAGACATCGGACCTGGCGGACATCCTATAGCAACTGTTGATTTGGCCACACAGACAATTGTTGAGTTGAAACTGTGTACACTTGTTACACATTAGTAGAGGCTGTGGACAGCCAACTTAAAACAGATTAGTTGCAACAGTTTCGTTAGCCACCGAGCCGCTTTGTGATGTGGCGAATTAACCAAAAAAACTATTGGTCTCATAGGAGCGTCGGATTTACTCACTTTTTATAGGCCATATTCGTAGGAGAATCTAGATCTCCAAAGTAATTCTGATTGACACATCAACATTTATAACTGATCATTTGAAGAAAGATCTAACTAAGTCAGTAGAAAGGTGAATTATCAAGAAATTAACAAAACGTTTTGAAAAGTCAGTCGAAAGTGATGCATAATGAACTGAAGAGAAAAAAAGAACATTTCAAGTATTGGTTTGTAGGGATTTGGTTGATTCGTTACTGGATTTCATCATGAGCTGACATCGGTTAGAGAACCATTGGAAAACCTGGGAGTACTGGACAGCTGTTTCGTCCTAGTTTGGGACTTTCATCAGTACGCGCCTACCCACCGGGGTTTGAACCCAAGACCTTCTGGTTACAAGGCGAGCTCATAGACCATTAAGGCACTGGGACCCGATCCAATGGCTAGTTGATGAATTCTCCCAATTCACGATATAGCGCAACCACTAGCCAATGTCTTCGGGACATTTGTTGATAACTTTCCAGTTTACAACATTTAAGCAGGTGGCAACTTTGCTTTTTAAACAAATGTGATTAGAACTGTACTCTAAAGACTTTTGGGAACTTTTTTACAGATGAATTCACTTCTGCAAGCTTAATATTATTATGTATTACTTTTGTTTTAATGCACTTCATATTGTGCAAATAAGAACAATAAACATATCAGTTAAGTTCAATCGATGCCGCAATTTTTATAAATTCGATGTACAACTCATAATGTATAAAATGAGATTTATAGAATTAAGAATAAATTCAGTTATTTCGGTTATTAATAGTAGTGTGATAACAGAAGACAAGGGCCAGGCAACAGATCGTTTATTTACGAAGTCAACACATTTATAGATTTTCATGTACATTATTATAGATTATTGTAAGCAAATGAACATACTCTTCTGACTGTTGGTTTCTCACTGAAAGTTAGTCTTTTATCTCGTTGTGGCTATTCTTGAA